TATAAATAATTGTAATTTGAGTTTAAAAGTTTATAATTTACACCTGATGACTCTTTGATAAACCGAAACGTGTTGTGAATGTTCCGATGTAAATCGAATGCTCGATATGGAACATAAGATGATATTTTAATCATTTTAATTATCTTATCTTACTATTTTATTGTGATTTGACGGTAAAACAAATATAATAATTATTTTACTTCCTATCTACTAAAAGCGTGGATATAAACGAGAATGGAAAACAGTGTAAAAATAAGACAATATTGAAAATTATAATAAAAAGTATACGAGAAACGAATACTGGATAATCAGTGAAAACAGATTAACACTCTGAAGGAGGGGATAATACATTTCAGGTTCTCACGGCGGTAAAATTTTCGATGTTGGTCTTTTGGGTTGTAACGCCGTGAGGACTCGTAGAGAGATACAAACGTTTCGAAGAAAAATATTGCTTCTTATACAAAAACATTGTACGAAACATTGTTATTGTTCTAGGTGACTGAAAATTTCTAATTATCGACCAAACGCTCTCTTACTGTAGCAGTACAACACATAATATCAGGTACAACTTTCATTACAGTACGTAATTTTAACAGGAAATATTAACAACGGTCAACAGTTTATTATAACAGACACAATTACTAACATATTCTCTCCTATTACTTACCAGTGTCCAGAATGATAGTTGATATCAACTGGGCGAGTTTTCACTTCTTTAGAGATCGTAATGTTAGAAGACTTGAAACATAATTTCAGTGGCGTTGAGAAAAATTTCTAATCCAGACACGCATACAAAAAGTTAAAATTCTCCTCAACTAACAAGATATATTAAAGCGACTATGATATCCAGATATGTTACACAGGAATCTTCAAAACATCAACATTAATAGACAACTATTTAAAAACTGTGTCCCTCTAAAACATTTAAAATATTGCCGCACGAAACTACGGAAACTATAAAAGTCTACGTATTTTGAACAATTCTTACGATTTACAATGAAGGTGCTATAAGTTTTAAAATAATTTGTGTGAAAGTAAACAGCAATTTTTATACGTCAGTGGTAAACTTTAAAAACAGTGAAAAATGTCCACAATCACAAAACAAACATCTAAAAACAGAACGTGAAATCTCCCAAATATCGATAAGAATTCTGTGTTAGTCTCTTTAAAACCAACTTATGTCTCAGAGTCCACAAAAACAAAATCACCTGAAATCTGAATAAATTATTATAATTTCATTTCGAGCAAAAAATGTTTAATTCTCGAGGCTGTATTATAGTATCAGACAGGAGCGAAGAAATTTTGTTCCGAGCACGCAAAAGTAACAATTGACGATCGCGACACGACACCTTCAGGAAAAGCGTCCTCCGTGAGATGATGACTGGGTGAGCGAGTTGGCGACCCGAGGCGACCCAACTGCTGGCCGACACTGAGTTCAGCGTCGAGAATTCCATCGATTTTAACCCTCAGTTGGACCAACAAGAGTAGTCTGACGGTGCCTGCGCAGCTGAGTGTAGAACAGCCCATGGAACCACCGCACTTTACAACGGAATTAACCGGGTCAGGTGACACGCCGTGCAGAACACTTCTCAGTCACAAAGGTCCCAGATTTACATTTTATGCAGTCATACATCGGTAATATACAAAGAGAACTAGTTTTAAGTACAAAGAAAGATACTTCGTAAGCTGATTCTATGACTGAAGATGGCTTCCTTTTGGACTGTTATACGTTTACAGACGTTTCAGAGGAGTTGATGTGAGATATGGGAACCAGTCGGATAAGGCAGAAACTTGTCCTGAAAAGTGGGAAAGATGATTAAATTTGGGAGTCATTTACCTACTAGTAAGTTACCGAGACGTGAAGTGGCTACATATCTATCTAAACTACACGATTTCCTGTCGAAGCTTCATGTTGGCAATGCTCTCCAGGCGTCAAAATTTGAACTACGAGAGTTATGTACACTACCTAGCAACGACGTTTGCACATGAAAACAAATTTAAGCAAACGACTACTCATAAAATACACGCTCGAGTTATTAAATTTGTCATAACCATCTCACCTCGAGTTATTTAGAATATTCTATAATATCCGGACTTTAAGAACAAACATTTTCCCCACAGTACAGGATAAGATGAACTTGTTGACCTCCTCTCTCGAGTAGTACTTTATGTAACATCGGTGGTCCTTTCGTCAAATAATCGTGAATTAGGTCATGGGGTACACGACTGATTCTGTCTGGCGCAGCGTGGCTTATCCGATAAGTGTGTTCGTTAGTGTAACTTGCTTGCCACATGTTGCAAGTCTCACACCACAATCTCTGCATGACATACGTCCATTGAGCCCTGCTAATGTTGTACAGCGCCAGACCCAACGCATCACAATAACCACGTTACACCTTGCGTGCTGAAACAAGCACTGAGCATCGCAATTTCATGATAAAAGCTGAAGGCAGGAGCAGTTCTGTCTCTCTCTCTCTCTGGGGTGTTGATAACGCCAGGAGATAGCGGTGTCTAATACAATACATGCACTTTGTAAAGTTACAACTCTTCACCGCAACAGGTACTATCAAGCTAAAACCATTAGCAGTATTTTCTGTACAGAGATATGATTTATTACAGACACGACGACAGGCTGGTTCTCAGTTTCTTCACCTTGAAGATGGTTGTCTTCTGGACTGTTGCATCGAGTAATCTGGTAGATACCGACAGAGTTTTCAGAAAGGCTAACTGCCTCCAACATCAGGGTTATAAGTGGTGATGATGGAGACGGATTATTATTATTAGTAGTAGTAGTATTAATGAATTGTATTATTATATTACTTAGGCACATTAATTAGCCCATTTTCTTTTGAATTATCACTCAATAAAGGAATTTAATTTAATTATTGTTATTACTAATATGATACATTTTTCTATTTAGTTTCATTTGTTTGATTTTGTATTTGTAATGTTTTACTTTTATTATTATTGAAATGAATGTAATCATTGTATTATATTTCATCCTGTAATGTTGTTCAGTGCTTGACTGTTATTGGCCTTACCTGGCTGTTGTCAAGCACTTAAATAAATTAATTGTATTGAATTGAATTATTAATATAGGCACGTACACATAATATACTTAGTAGTCTTATCTTTTTGTATTAAAGTTAGGCCTTTATTGACTTTCATAATTTTCTTTATCGTTCTCTTATCTAATTCTTCAACCAATTAATTACATGTAGAATAGTTCTTCAGAAGCTGTTAGTCGTTCTGTTGGTCAAGATATTTTCTGTATTTTATTGAGTCCTCAAAACTTCAGAAATATTCTTAACTTTCGGATATACGAGGCGCGTCCTCAAAGTAAGTTTCCCACTCGTCCCACAGCTAGCAAACCTTATATTGCGCGAAGCGACTGTGCGTACGTGATAGAGCAATGACGTAGCATGGCGCATGCACTAACGGCACTTCCCGCGTTCTCACAGTAGCATCGTTGCAGCTGTTGAAGATGGAGGTTCTTATTCCAGCTCCCGCCGACTGTGAAGTGCGGTCAGTGATAACGCTAGGCCGCACACGGCTCGACAGACAGCAAGTCTCCTGCAGGAGTTCAGCTGGGAGGTGTTTAATCATCCACCCTACAGCCCGGACCTCGCTCCCAGTGATTTCCATCTTTTCCTACACCTCAAGAAATTCCTGTCCGGTCAGCGTCAGCGTCAGCGTTTTGAGAATGACAGAGAGGCGGAGATGGTGGTCACACAGTGGTTCCAATCCCAGGCGGCAGACTTCTACGACACAGGTATTAAAAGTTGGTCCCACGGTATGACAAATGTCTCAATTCCGGTGGCGAATATGTTGAAAAATAGCTGGACACTTGCTGTATCTGTCGCAATAAATATTTCCATGAAATTGTGCTTTGTTTCTGTAAACGGCCCCAGGGAAACTTACTTGGGGGACGAGCCTCGTATGTTGTGTGGTTCAGTCAGGTTCACAACTCGCTTATCTGAAATATCATCATCCCATCTCAGTCCTTCAGGTGGTATCTTCCCCATGAGAGTTCCAACGTGTGTACTCGCTGTGTGGGATCTCCCAGTCAAGCACCAACGCCACCAAATAAGTCAGTCAGCGTACACAATACTTATATATGTAACGTGACAGAATAATTCATCTGACTAACGTGATCTCTGAATCATCATTACAAAAGGCTTATATATTTGTGTATAAACCCATACCATATCTATGTTATTTACATCAGTTCTCCGCTTCGCACTTTCTGTTTTAGACTTTAATTGTTTAATCGCTCATGGTAAAATTATTCCTGGTCTCTAAATGTCCAACTATAAGAGTCTGCAAAAAGACAGAGGTGGCAGAACTCCGAAATCCGTGATCCTCATAATTGCTACGTCACTCTCTGAACCTGCATGACTTCTGTGGGTTCTCACAAAGGCTTACCTGTCATACCAGACGCATAGTTCTGTCCTCCAACGTCCACTCAAAGGCTTTTGAATAGCAGGACACGAATTATAATACAAGCAGCCTCTTTAACAGCAACCAGACACGTCATGAAATTCAGTGTAGCATTGATTCTAAGTGCTGTTATATCTCGGAACCTATATGACGGCTTTGGTTTAATGCGTACTCCTTCCAGTACAGTTACTGTAACTTCTCAAGCACATTTGTAAAGGCCACTGCAGAAAACTTCCGTTTAAACAATGAATGACCTCTTGACTTGACAAGAGAATCGGGAAGTGTTCCGAAAGCGATGTGAGACGCCCTATAAATACGTAACTACACCTTAGAGACCCATGAGTCGCTACGAACCCCACCCTTTTCCTGTTCCCGACGGAAACAGATCATGAACTCACGGACCCGTCTATTTTAAATACATGATGACCCTCTAATGACGATGTTAAACCGTACAAAAAGGTCGTACATTTATTTATCGGTCCTGCTGTTTACATGTCACTCTATTCTTTACGTTTGGAAACTACATAATTCATCTGTTTTCATTTGAATTCCTTTCATAAGACACCGATTGATTCGTGGCTGTTAAAATGGAGTAAAAAAATTCTATAAAATGTCGTTCTTCCAGTATTGATTATGCCCCAAAAATTAAAAGGATCCCACGACGAACGGAGACGGCGGAAATGTGTCTAATGTTCTGGACCAAAATACAGCGTCTATATCATAACCAGAATAACACACGATCACCTCAGTACCCAAAAGTGAAACATGGAAAATGACTTTGTGGTCCCTAATTAGGTTCTTCTTTGCAACAGGAAATTCAAAGGTCAATATCCTGACATAAAATTAATGTATAACCAAATGAGCAGGTCTTCCTTGAGAAGTTGGTAGCCACTCACTTCGTAAAATACTTAACAGGTGTTCGAGAATCTCCAAATTTAATTATGGGGTTCACAAGGGCTTGGAACAGGTCCAAACTCTATTTTTTAAATATCAGTTTTTATATTATCTTCAAACTAACGCTCAAATACCTCAATCAGTAGTTCATCCCGTTCAAGTTTTCCCACAACAATTCTGTATGCATTTCTCGTTGCTGTTACGCATACTACATGATTACTGAAATTATTAACATCCTTACGGTGCAATTTTCTACAGTCATCTGTTTCTTTGTTTATCACAGGCAGAAAATCTTCACAGTCCCCGGTTCGCGAACGCGCAGAGCCTGTGTTACCGCTTAGGGTAAGTGAGTTATTTTCACACCAATACAAAATACATGTAAACCTACAGTTTTATATCCATAAAAAGCAAAGGTAAAGAGCCCAATTCTGTGTATTCTAATGTTTACGTTTTATATAAAACTGTTAACTGCGTAAATATTGTTTGAAATGAAGAGCAGTATGCATTTACCGAATATAAAATACCCTAAATGTGTTCGGATTTTTTTTTCTCCTTATATGTTTGAAATGAGCTATGTTTTCGAGAATTTGTTAGCTGTCTTCTCACTGCGCATATCCCCTCGAACATTGGGTATTACTTTTCATTATTTTTTCCCACAAATTCTTACACATTTCTATTTCAGTAAGTGAATTCACAAAGGATTATACCAAGTGGCCATCAAAGAATTCAGTCACAAAACGAAATAAAGCTTTTATATCAAAGTGTTTTTCATTTCACCGCCATGGATTCTGATTCGTAGATGTTATTTTATGTAATTTCCTGTTAGAAGAGTGGATCTCATAACTTAAACTCTTTTAAAAAGCATCGAAAGTTTAAACTTTGATGTTTCAAGAATCGTGTAAGTGTTAAGAACACTCTTTTGTTACTATCTGACTTTTAAATTTGTTGGTGTTTTGTAGGGTAAAAAATGGGTGGACAGAGAAGACAGCTGCCTGAGAATATTCGTACCAAAACACGGGTCCCAATGAAGGAAAGTTTCAGAGCCCGTCCCATCTGTTAATTCAGTAAGCTAGC